AGTCATTTTGTTTAGTTATGCAGCTAAATAATTTTCAATTGCAAACATGCTTGTTTTTTGGTGGCTTACTCAGCAATTGAGGGAGTTGGGGGACTCCCGCTACACCGCCAAACACACATAACTTTTCGCTCCCATAATATGCCCCTTTTAAAACTACAGTGACTGAAACCAACACTGACGATTTATTATTTTTTTTTTTATCTTTGACATTAAAGGTGGTTCCAGGGAACACTGAGTTCAGATGACACTATACGCTGTAACAGTAAATGTTGGCTCAATCCATTTAGGCTACCACAGCGAAGCAGCATTCCTATTATCATGATTAATGGCAGCATAATCACCCCCAGTTCGGAGATTAGTAATGCTCTCTGTCATCCAGTACGTGCTTCTCATAACTCTGCAATACTCTGTGTGCCTCTCTGCATCACTTCACTCAATATATATATCTTACACAGGTAAAATACTGCAGCAGCAATGTTGTTTTGATTATTGTCTCTGCAGGAGGTCCCATGGCCCGAAACCAACACAACAGATGGGCCCACCTCGGAGTAGCATGACAGTGCATTGGGATGAAACTCAGTTCAATCAGATGTCAAGATTACCTGCTTGCCGCAGGCCTCTCTCCACCTCTGCACCTATGTATTGAATCATAGCTTTTCATTTCCGTTACTTCTCTATTTTCCGCTTTTATGTCTGCAGGTCAAATATGCTACGAAAAAAGAAGCAAGCTCTCATGCTGTCGCCAAGCTTCCACTCATTACAGGATGACAAAAGTACCGTAGGTAAAACATAGAAAAAAACCCTGTCTTTCTTATGCAAAATTGTTATGCTAATCCCTCACAACCGTCTCTGATCAGCTTGCTCAAGTCAATGCATTCAAAAGACTGAAGACTTATCAATGAAAATGGTAAGACAGCTTCATTTGATCTTTGCGCTAGCTCAATTATCTTGCCTTTGGATACCAGTTCAAAACAACTTTTGTTCAATTGCGGCAATGAGATAAAGCATTTCAGTCTCTCTTTGTTTTTTCATGGTTTTGGCACAGAAAAACACTTGGGAAGCACATTGTCTTGTTAGCGGCACTTTGGGAACTAAATTTTGATTAAAAAACAAACTTGAATAGGGAGTTTGAAGTGCCTCACAGTCTGGGGGCCAGGGTTTGAATCTACGTTGGAACTCTTAGAGGAGCTAGCATGTTTTCTTGTGCTAGCATGGGTATTAAGCAGGCACCCAGGTTTCCTCTCACATCCCAAATCCATTTCATTATTTACTGTAAATTGTTATACCTGTGAGAAAAAAAACTGCTTTCCATCATTACAATAATAAAACAATCTCCAGATTAATGAAGACATTTAAGACAAATTAGTGGAAATCTGGTTTCATTTTTTTGAAACTCATGCTGAACTATGCAGTATACAGTGAAACTCCTCTACAACGAAATCATGTTTGCAGCAAGAAATTTTTCACAACGGGGTTTTTCACTGTAGCAAATTTGATCTCAGATGTAAGCACACACACACACACACACACACACACACACACACACACACACACAAACGTATGTGTACACGCACACACAAACGTATGTGTACTCTATTTTTATTTTAATAGTGCAAAAGTATGAGCACACACTTATTTGGCATTTCATATAGTCAGTGTGGAAAGAAAAAAAAGGGAAAGAATTGCGAAATTTACGATCAGCATTCACTTTCACTTACATCAATTTCTTGAATAATGTCTTTTATTTTGCTTCCTCCGTCTTTCATTTTGATCATTTTTCCCCTCTCTTCCAGCGTCAGAGCTCTTCTTGTCTTAGCTGCTTGACATCCAAAGGTCCGTTTTGTAGCCATTTTAGCAATGCAACGT